AGTGTGTAATTGTAATCGACTGTCGATTCATTTGTTTTACGGGCATTCCAAAATTCATAACTATGACTTGGTTTATCATCTCAAGTTTGTTTTCCTATTCAAAAGAATCCTCTTGATATGTACTCCATTTCGTATGCTTTGACCAAGAGACAATTCCTCAGGTAAAGCCCCTGAATAAGTGGATCTTCTGAAATGTACAAATGAAGATATTGTGAAAAAGTGTTGAAGGTGCGGTTTTCGCACACTGAAAAATTCATAACTCGAAGATCGTTTATAGTTTTGAACCAGATCTGGTGGCCAAAGTTCTTTCTTGGTGTCATATACATTTCGTATCTCACGGCCAGAAGTCAGTTCTACTCAGAGGATCTTCGAATATATGAATTTATCAAATATGTTTGCACAAGAAAATTGTGATAAATGGTCACTTGCTTCATCTTCAGGAAATCATAACTCGGTTGATTCTTATCATATTGAGTTGGTTCCGGTGGAATTGGTTTAAAAATTGAGTTGGATAAATATTTCTTTCAACTTTCCAATTCGAAGAGTATCCCGAAGACCTTCGTTTTTGGTCCAGAACGCACGCAACGCATTTGAAAATCCTGAACCGAGAAATATTTTCATCTCATATGAAACTTCAAAAAATCATAACTAAATCACTGTTTATCCGATTGAGCCCATCTTCAAACACAATTTTGTTCTCGATGTTGGCGACATTTTAGTTTCACATTTCAACTTCAAAAGTCACACCGAGGGACCTGCTAATTTGACATTAAGGTGTCAGTCTCTGATAAACTGAAAATTTGCACATTTGCTTGTGTTTATTGGAGGTTCATTCATTCAAAAAAAGGGCACACTATATATTATTATTCACTCCAATTTTAAAAAAACATTCTCATAATTGACCAATTCTCAAAAACACTCAAAAACTTTCTCTCATCTTGCTCAAGGATCAAAGAGCAATTTTCTCTTATTTTCATCAAGAACACCAACGACTTTTCCAACTACTTTTTCAAGATCCAAAAGTCAAAGGAGCTCAATTCTTCTTCGATTTCAAATCTAATTGTTGCGATCTCTACACCTAAGCTTCCTCTTCAATTCTACGGTAATTTTTTCTTGATTTAAGCACTTTTCAAATAAGTGATTCTTAAATAAACACTTTTGTGGATCAATAGACTGAACTTTGATCTAATTTGAATGGTGGAAGTGATTTTGATTATGAAAATATGAATTGATCTTGAATCATGATGTGTAAATCCGAAATTGGATGATTAAATAAGTGCTTATTCAATTAATTGATTTTCATGAAAGTGCTTATTTGAGAAAACAAAATGTTGAAGTTGTTTTAAGCTTAATTGATGATTCTTGATTGATTATGTGTCGTATAATTTGGATCTCTAATTATGCAAAAATTATGAGTTGAATTTCGGAGATTATGTGCTTGACAAAAAGGTTGAGCCATTGTGCCTTGATCTTACCACGTGATTCAATTGATTTTTGGTTGTGTATAAATTTCCTTGTGCTATGGTCATAGCATAATTAATGTGAATTCCGTTTTTGATCTGATAAAAATGCATTGAAACTCATGAAATTGGATCATAAATTCACATGTTAATCGTGCTAAGATCGGGGAATTTGTTGTATAATTTTTTTGGTTTTGGTTTCCGCTTCATGCCGTAGATATTCTATGATTTTCAAGCTTTCTAACTATTCGAACCATGCGTGAAACGGACACTCGATGCAAAAGTTATGTTTCTTTAAAGTTTAAATTGAACAAGGCTGCAGTTGAGTCGATGCATAGCCTCTTTGAGTTGACACAAATAGCTTGGACCACACACGGGTAGTGTTGCCCCGACCCACCGGTCGATGCAAACTAAGAAAAATCCTGGGCATGAGTCGAAGCATATCCTGTTGCGGTCGATGCAAACATTCTAGTCACCCGCGGGAAGTGTTGTGCCGACCCTCCGGTCCATGCAAACTGAGAAAATTGCAGGCATGAGTCGACTCATGCCCTATTACGGTCGATGTATCTTTTCCAAATTGTCGCTTTTTTCTTCTTTGGCTATTGTTTGCTCCAAATTTCTTCCTACTTGTTGCACCCCAAAATTTTCCCTCCTAATTTCTTTCATTTGGCTTAGACTTTTGCATTCAACGGCATATATTCTATTAGGTCACTAACGTAGCATGCATTGCATTCAAAAGGGCATCTGAGGTTCAAAAGATTAGTAGCTATGAAGCTAGGGTTTATGACTGATTTGAGGTGTATATGATTGAATAAGATTGATTATTTTGTTTCTTCTTGGTGTACAAGACTGTGGAATTAGGGTTTCGGTTCATGCTCATTTTTTGGACTTCTTCTCCATCAAGCTACAAGGCTATTTTCTTCTGCTGAACAACAGGCTGCAGGTTTTTCTTGTCAAGAACTCAAGGGCGTGACCTAGCATACATGGCCTCTGAATCAAGACGTATCCTCATATAAGGTTGCTTATCATTTAATCAGGCTTAATGACTATGACATGGCATTCATCCACTCTTCAATTAACCAACTCAGGTTTTGTTGAGTCATGGTTCAGAGGATCATTGGTTGTGAAGCTATGGTTTTCTTTTGTTTTAAGGTGTTTATCAAATAAGAGCGATTCTTATGGTTCTTCTTTGTACATTAAATTATGAATTTAGGGTTTTGATTCATGATTATTGTGGATCTCTTCCTTATTAATTTACAAGGATATCTTCCTCAAGGTAAGAGACAAAGCCATTTTCATCACAACACATCTCAAGAAAATTACAGTTCTTATGCGTGGCAATTGAGCGTGTTAACTCGTCGACTGGGGTTCATTGGATTTACATGTTAGGCTATCTTGGTAGTTATTCCTCCCATGTCTCAAGTTCCATATTCATATTCAAAGGAGTCTTCAAGGCATAGTCTTTGTGTTACAAGATACGATTTTTGGATTCTAAACAATGTCATTGTTCTTTCAATCAGTTGTCGCTTGTAATGCAAGTTAACATGGATATAAGGTTTGAGATTGTGGTTTCCTTGAGAAGTGAGAATTGAATTGAACTCATTATTTGGAAGTATTCGTCCAAGCCTTCAATGCGCTTTAGTTAGTCGAATGGCATCAAGGTTCTTAAACTTTGTTGTGATCATGGTGTCAAGAATTGATTCGTGCAAGGTCGAAAGGAAATGTATTTGGATTATTAAAAAAAACAAAGAAATTATTCAAAGTTCAATTTCAATACAACTCTCATTCAATCATATTCAAATTGCTCAAGGTTCTTTCATGGTCTTTTTCAAAAGTGGTGCCTTGTATTAATTCAAGATTCATAATTTCAAATGCACCTTACAAGTCGACATTCAATCAAGAGTTTTAATGGACATGTCATGTTCAGCCAGAATCATAACTTCATCATGCAAATCATTCAAGTTTCAAGATTAATTCCATCAAAATGAAATTCATTCCTGTTCATTACAAAATGTATAAGAAGGTACGAGGCCTTACATTACATAAAAAGAAACATAGATCTAAAGTTAAGCCTATGCCAAACTTCCTTTCAATTATTTTCAGGCTCTAATCCTAATCACCATGACAAAGGCTCCAAAGATCTTCATGCTAAAATTCGTTGGCCATTTCTTTTACTCTATTCTCAAGCTATATTCATGATCAAACTCTACTCCAATTCATGCTACGTTTTCATTATCCCTCCAAGAGATCCAACTCCTTCAACATTCAACTAGACACTAATCCCCCTCTAGCCATACTTCATGCATACTTTCCTACCAGTTGCTACCATGTTATCAATCTGCACAAAAGAGGATAAAACAAGCATCAAAGTGGAATCTGGATAACTCAAGTTCAGAATAAGCATTATTACATATCACACATGCTGCAACAAATATCATCATCCATTCCAACTTCGTGATCTAAAAACTGCTGTATAAAAACAACATGCTACATACCTGCAAGAGCAAACCATTACTACATCCAGCTCAAACCAAGCCAGCTGCCAAATACCAAGTTGGTTGAACCTACACACAAAAATAATTGTTGGGCGCCGAATAAATTAACCATCGAGCTGATACTCAAACTGAGAGAAGACTGTAGTCATGTCCAGTTACCTAATACTAATATGGCATAACCAGATCAACAGAAAATCCATAACAAATAAATAGCTCAGCTTCATATAAATATTAGATCAATCCACAATATCCAAGCTAAGTTTTCAAAACTAACCTGCCAGCTCATTTCCTAACCAAAATTCCTAAGATTTCTACAACTAACCCCAACCGCCTAACTGAATTAGTTACTTACCAACTAATTCAAACAAAATTCCTAAACTAATTGTTAACAAAATTTACCCAACCTTCCAAAAAAACCAACTAACTACCTATAACCTATTTCCCAAACTAACCTCCTAACTACCAACCGGCTCTAACCTCTAATAGAACAAACCAACTTTCATTCCCAACTAACTATAACTACCCTACTAACAACCAACTATCCTAACAAAAAAATCTAACTAACAGCTAACTCCTCTAACCAACCCTCTCACAAACTTCTCAATTATTTTCAAGAAGAGGAAAGGAAAACAATAGTTAGTTACAAAAAAACAGATTGATAACAGAATGTAACAGAATGGAGAGGGGGGGTATATAGGAGGCATTCATAACAAAAATGTGAGAGAAGAAAATCAGGGACGAACCTTTCTATCTCCATCTTGCTTAACTACCTCCAAATTCTCTGAACGCACTACTTCATCTTCACCGTCATTTTTCACTTCATCAGAGTGGATCGAGTTTCAAGAGAAAACACGTCTCGCGAAGAAGAAGAAGAAGAAGAAGAAGAAGCGAAGGAATCGAAGGCGAAATGCATACCTGAGGTTATTCTTCTCTGGTTTCTTAATAGTCTCCGACATCAAAAATCCGTCGGAGCTGCTATGGTAGGTAAATGATTCCTTCGTCTTTTCTTCCGTTCCACGTCGATATATGGCATTCGTATTGGTATTCAGATCTTATTTGATTCCATTTTTTCCTCTCTTTCGCTCGGATAAGCTTGAACATGGGAGGCCGAGTTTAAACTGGAAATTTGATTTGTGATGTTTGAAGCAGATTTACAGAAATGAGATGATGAAGTGTGAAAAGAGGGAGGCGAAGGTTTAGCATCGGCGCTGAAGTTGGAGGGATACATTGTGTTGTTGATGCTGAACGCGAGATCCATGGCTACTGGAGATCGAAGAAGCCGCGATCGGTAGAGAAATTCGAAGGTCATCATTGAGCCATCTTGAGAATAAGAAGAGAGAGCTGAAATGTGGAATTTGAGCAAACAAAAATTGTAACCCTAGCCAAATTCTTCAAAACGGCATCGTATTCTTTCTTTTATTTTTTAATGTTTTTTTTATTATCATATTGTTGAAGAAAAGAAAAGTTGAATGGGCCTCTGGGACTTGGGTGATAGTCAATGTTAAATCGTGGGCCTTGTTTCATGATTGAGCCCATGATATTTTTTTTTGGTATCTTATCACTCTGCAAAAAAAACATGTGCGGATCACTTCTGGACTGGGCTCAGCGCCCAGATTACTACTATACCCCTGTGTTTCAGCCTGCACCCCCTTCTGACTAGAATTCTAGTTTCTTTTTCTTATTAGTTTCCTTTCTATAATTTTTTATAATCAAAACTAATAATAAAAACAAAATAAAAATTTAATTGTTTTTTTAGGAATATAATATAATTCCCCTAATTTTTTCTTCTTTTAGAATTTTGTTAGAATTTTCTATTATGGTTTTATGTTTAAACAATCATTTTGTTTCTGATACTTCATGCTTCACCTTTTGCTTGTTGAGATTTGGAAACTTATGCAGGTTTATTGTGCAATATGCGGATGCGCTTGGGATTTCGATTGTGATTTATTTTCACATCGATGATGCTTCGACGCTTATTTCGAGCTTTTGATTTCTGACTCTTTTCTTGGATTGGTGAAGCTTTCACGAAGATCGCCGGGTTTCTTTGTTTTGATACGCATCACTACGGATTGATGTCTAGATATCATGAGAAGTAGGAAATAAAGAGCGTGCGCTCGAAGTCGCTGTTTAAAGACCTGTAGCAGATATTCCACCCTTTATTTGCTATATGTGTTATGATTGTGTTTGTTTCCTTGGTTGTTGATCGATGAGTCACTCAATTTAGGAATTGAGATCACGACTTCACTCTCAGTGCATGCTCCCTATAAGATTTTATCTCTCTCCTTAATTTCTTGTTGATCGATGAGTCACTCAATTTAGAAATTGAGATCACGACTTCTCTCTCAATGCATGCTCCCTATAGGATTTTGTCGCTTTCCATGATTTCTTGTTGATCGAAGATTCACTCAATTTAGGAATTAGGATCATGACTTCACTCTCATTGCATGTTCCCCATAGGATAGTTTTTGTTAGACTTTCTTTGGCATGCTAGCGTAGATAGGATCTCTCTAGGTGTGCTCTCTTGAGCCTTTTAATTGTTGATTTGTTTTCCTACCTTGATCCTCAATATCTTGGTTAGGCATTTGACTTGAGTTAGTATGTGCTTCTATCGACATATTGTTTGTGTTCTCTTGAGCTTGTTGGCTTGCTTTCTTGATTTCTTCTTTGTGTGCATGTTTTGAGATGACATACCCTCGACATGTTCCCTTAGGAGCTCTCATCTCAACTATAGATGATGGTTCGAGATAGACATAGTTTAGGTGATAGACCCTTGATATGCTCCTTTAGGACTTCTTAATTCATCTATATATGATGATTTGAGATAGACATTAGGATTCTTATCAATGCATATTACATTGGTTAAAGTTTCTCCTTTAAAACTCAACTTTAGGATCAATCATTTGTGTGATAGCATTAGGGATAGATTTAGGTTAGTCTCTCTTAGATGTTTTTATTTCTTTTGCATCCTTTGCATAATAAAACAAAAACCTTTATTTTCTTTTTTCTTTGCAAATCATAAAACACTTAAAACTTTCAAATCCTTTCTCAAGGTAAAAAAGACAAACCAACACCTTTCTTTTTGCCAATCGACATTTCTTTTCTAATAACATGTTAGTTCCCTTCTGCTACAGGTCATAAGTCTCCAAAGGTCAAGCCGCGTTGGACTGATTCAAACCTAACATTGTTCAATTAAAAAATACAAAACAAACAGAAATATGTCAGTCGAACTACGTCTGCTCTGATTTCTTAAAAGGGATACGTAGGCATCGTGGTAGGGCCCGAATGAGCATAACTTCTATTTTACCTACATTCTTTTCTCTTTTTATTTTGCATGCATTCCCTGTACAGTTTAGATAAAATTCTTACACACCCTTTGATTAGAACAACAAGAGTGGATACCGTAGCGTACTATAGGCGTATGGGATGCTAATACCTTCCCCTCGCGTAACCGACTCCCTTACCCTTATCTCTCGGTCGTTTAACCTTGATTTCACCCTTCTTAGGTTTACTCGATGTTTACCTTTCCCCTCTTGTGGGATAAAGAATGTTCGATATCAACTTCATTGATTTCATCAGTTGATTGTTCAGTAGGTTGTTTCAGCTGGCGACTTTACTAGGGACAGATCGACCAAATGCTGGTCCATCCCATAGTCGATCCTAGCTCTTGTTTGCTTCTCTTTGAGTGTTTATTTTTATGCTTTAAGTTTATTCATTTGTACATGTTTATCTGAGCATATGTTTGCATTGCATCTTTATTGTTTTCCATATGTTGTTGTTGTGCTGGTTTCTGTGTTTCTTTGTTGGATGGGTGTTACTATGAGGTAAAAGGCCCAATACCCAGGCCAAGTGACAAACAATAGGAACACTAGGAATATAGTGGAACATGATGGATAGGGGATGTAGATTACCCTAGACGGTTGTGTTGTCCATGCTCAGATGAGGTTTTAGTGAGGTGTTATCATTATCACGTAGGTGTACGATGATAGTACTCTCAAGCGAACCCGTGATTTTGAGTTACCTTTACTTACCTTGACCTAGTTTCACCCGTGAGTGGGGCGGGAATTTTTCTTACAGGTACAGATGGTGACTATGTTCTGATGGTGACCGTTTTGTTCTATTGGTGACCTGGTTTCTTTGGTTATGTTCCGGACCTTTGATTCTGATATATTCAACTTTGCCAGATATTATACAATGATTATTCATGGTACTTGGTTCCGTTGTGTTCTGAAATTGATGTCGAACCTTTGACCCTGTGATATTCAGATTATTCAGTAGATTTATACAGCAGTACCCAGAGGATTGTACAGTTGCTATGCTGAACTTTTGAACCTATGTCATTGCACCTTGCATCATAGCATGTTTGTTTTACACAAAAAAGGGAATGTGAAATATTATACGCATAAAAAAGATGTTTGGACATGGCATTGCATCCGCTCATTCACCTCATGTATCTTCATGCATCCATAACAGGTACTCAGAAGGTACTCAAGATGGGGAATTCTTATTCAGGCCCAATATTTTCTCTTCAGAATTGTGAATCTTTACTTCTCACCGCTCCGTTATCTGAAAAATCCGTGGAATAACTTTGTGGGAAGTTCGATGAGTTAAAAGAATCAGATAGGGTTATTTATCATGGACGTACAGGTCTTGGTCCAGGGTCAGAAATCCTTAAGGGGGAAAGATAACCAGTTAGAGACTCAATTGAGTCAGATATGGGAGTTCTGAAGACAGTGTCAGCAGAGGAAAGAGGTCCTATATATGGTGTTGCTACTGAAGCTGTCATTCATCCCCAACCTAGGGGACTTTTTTTTCAAATCGAGAGATATATTGTAGGTCTCATCCAGAACTTCGTGTTCCCGGATTCTCTCGTCAGCAACTAGTTTTTGGTCTCTAAGTGAACCCATGGGGCAAAGCTTATCAACAAAGATAGAATAAACCTGAGGAGCATGTTGATATAATCTTAATGCCTTACATATAGTTACTTCCTCATGTGTTGGAAGCTCAATTGATTAAGCTTCATGCTTTGGGTCATCCTCCCTACAAATTTCCCTTCTGACTTCTATGCAAATTCTAGATATGTCTCCCATGCTGGGGCACCTGGTTATAATATTGAAGATTGTAAGGGGTTGAAGTATGAAGTCCGACACTTGTCTGGCTTCTTTTACAAGGTTCAGTCCATGTTTGGCAAACTATTCCAGGCTCTTTTTCCTCAGCTGAATGCTTCTTATGTGTAAGTATAAGATATGGTGATTCTTCTAAGACGAAGAAGTATAAGATATCGAGATCTTGGACATCCTCTGCCGTGTAGAAGGAAAATACCTCAAAGGTCTAATTATACACTCAGAGTTTAGTTTCTTCTGTCTAGTAGAAGATTCTTTGTTACAGCTTCTGAATTTTGCTTCCGTGTAGTAGAAGACGGAGACTCTTTTGTGAAGTAGGACATTCTCTGTAATTCGGTTGCTAAAACTTCTCTCTTGTGAATTAGGAGATGAAATTTACTTTCTTCTGCGTAGTAGAAAATCCTTTGGTATTGTTTCTGGATGTTGCTTCTATGTAATAGAAGACGGTGCTTCTTTTGTGTAGTAGGAGACGTTCCAGAATTCAGCGACTGGTTTTCTCTTTTGTGTAGTAGAAATTGGTTGACATTTCTTCTCTGTGGTAGAAGATGCTTTCTGATGCAGTTTATGCAAATTGGCTTGATAAAGCATTCATCACATCTGTTGAGGGAATCCAATGTGATTACCATGCTAGGGCATCTGGCCATTCAACTGAAGGTTGTAAATCATTCAAATATGAAGTGTGAACCTGCTTGATGCAAAGGCTATTAATTTTGGGCCAACCAGACAGATTTGAGGTCTCCCTTGACTCAGTAAATTTCAAGTCTGGAAGATCATCGTCCGAAGAAACAAGTCCATACGGAGACTAGTCTCCTCAACATGGCAATTTCAAATTACATTTGCATTCTTATTTGTAATCTTTCTTGTTTTGGTTCAGTACTTTCTTGTATGCAAAACTTTCTTATTTTTTAATATTAATCATAATGCATTAAATATGTTTGTCTTGAATTAATCCATTCATATTCACTCATTAATGTTTTTCTTTGTTTTTTGATACTTAACTCTTGTTAAATAAAGTAAAATACCACCGGAGGGAGGATGATGAGTGATATACCAAAAATTTCAAACAGGGTGCTTTTGAATAAAAACCCTGCTGACAATGTACAAGCCTTGTTTCAAAATCCCAAACACCGAAGATATAAGGGAGATAGACCGTCAACCCCTTTGAGCCTTGAAGTAGGAGTTTCTCTTC